ACTCCCAAAACGAAAAACAAGAAAACCGTCATTTAAAGAGAGGATTTCCAAATCATTCTTGAGCCTCCACATCGTTTTAAGCATGGTTTTCATATAAGACCATTCCGGCCTTCTTCCAAGAAAGTAACCAAGAAGGCAATTTTTCCATCTACCCAAGCTGGCGTCCACAATGTTAAATTCGATTTCAATGAAGCATTTACCATCTACAACGTCAGTAGAGGTTGTTCCAATGTCTTCAGAATAGAAAACACCAGTTTGCATCCCCTTCTCTCCAAAGAGCAAATGCGAAGATTTGCCTTTATTCCAGCAATTTAAATCTATAGCAGTATGTGATGCTGATTTGGGGTTTAGTGGCTTCCCTAGAATTTTTTTTGCAGTATCCAACCTAGGAAACTCCACACTACTGTCAAGGATCTTTATTTACTCGATCAAGATCAGCGCTACTAATGGGAACACCAACTGCAGATTTTCCAGCCATAACATTGAAACTTTCAGCACCAGCTTAACAACTTGAACATGAGAACTGGTATCACACATCCCATTATGAACAACAGCCTTCTCACGAGATCCAATATTGTTCCAGGCATCTGCAGAACCAGCAACATCCCCAGTGACAGAAGCATGCAAATCAGCAGTGGATCCAGCACCATGATCATCGCCAACACCCACTATACCTTTACCCTTCAATACACTAACGTGGCTGCCAGATATATCACCAATAACAATATTGATCCTCTCACCATTAACACCTTGAGCAACCATAGAACTGATATTTTTGCTGTCATCTTTCTCATCGCCCACAGCAATAACACCTGCAAGAGAAGAAAGCACAGCGGCATCATCAACGTATGAGAAATTACCCCCATAGCCAGATCTGTGTTCTTCTCGATCACCATCACCGCCATCAATAGTTGTCCCTCCATTCTTCTTATTATGTAGATCTTTCTCACCAAAACCAGCAGCAGCAACAACACAAGGTTTATCAACTATAACAGCTTCAATAAACGAACCAGCAGCAGCAACAACACAAGGTTTATCAACTTTAACAGCCTCATTAAAGGAATCAGCAGCAACCTCCTCCAATAAACTGCAAGATTCACCTTCACTGCCATCAATATGTAGAACATTATTTCTAATTCCAGAAGCATCAACATCCTCGATATCATGAAGACGAAAAACAGTAGAGACCCCATTAGCCTCCTCACGATCAGCATCATCACCAAGAGAACTCAGATCAGGGGCTTTCCAGCCAAGAGGGGATCCATCCCCATGGCTAGATTCTCCTGCAGAAGCCATGCGAGGATCATTGGACGTGGCTCTTCTCTAACACTGGATCATAGCATTTGTAATCCTTTTGAGAGGACGGATAACTAAAAAATATACATTTCACAAATTTGGGGCCCAAGTTTTATGATTCAGACCAAGATGATGAGTGAAGCAAACTCGACCAAAGACTTTAGGAGAAACCTTAAAATGTGGACATTAAGAATGGAGAAGGTTATAGGCAGATTTGTAGTCTAGATTCTAGAAATCTAGAACGTGAAAAGGCGTCTGATTGATGAGATAGGATGCAATAAGCTTAACTTTTGACCAGGACTTCTTGGGTACATTTATCCCCAAGAGAAGAGCACATCTAACTTCCAAGCAGTGTATGGTCTTTCTTTCAGCTAGCACATGTTGTTGTGGGGTATATAATCAAGAATTCTAATGTTCTATGCCTTATTCTTTTAGATAGGACAACAACTATTGATTGCAGTACTCTCCACTTGATCAGACCTAAATACCCTAACGATAGTATAAAACTGCGTGGAGCATCTTATTTTAGACCTTGAGGATGTTAGGAACTTCATCTTTGGTCTTTGTAAGATAGATCCATATACACCGGGAGTAATCATCCATAAAAGAAACAAAATACCGATAACCAAAAATAAAAGTAATAGGAGATGGACCTCATGCATTAGGATGGACAATAGAAAAAAGACCAATTCTTTTGTTATTGCTGAGTATAAACGAGTTTATACAATATTTTGAAACTTCATAATAAATCTTTGACACACTAGTAGAAGTAAAAAACTTGGGAAATAAAATTTTCAATGACTGAAAAGACATATGACCAAGTCAGAGATGCCACTGCTAAATCCGGTCTTTATTAACATTAATGCTGGACTGAAGGGCTTGAGGAGTAGTAGTATGCAAGTAAAAATTATAGTGACCACTAGCCTCATGACTATTGTTGCTAATTGTCTTCTTCTTATCCAAGTCGTGAAAAACATAATGGGAAGGAAAGAAGGTTACACTACAATTAGATTCTCAGTAATGCTATTGACTAATATTAAGTTTGTAGCAAAGCTAGGAACATGCAGAACTGATGACATGACAATTGAGGAGAAATATTTACTGTCCTTTTTCCAGCAATGGATAAAATGATCCATCAGCAATTCTAACTTTGTTTCTATCAGAACAAAAAGATTAAGAAGGAAAAAAGGGAGATATACCAGTCATGTGATCTAGAGCTGCCGAATCAATGATCCAGGACTGTCCAGACGAATAAAGAAAAACATGATTAGTAGAAGCATGAATATCTGAGCAGGCAAAGGATGATGTAGAGGAGTAGATGAGCCATCTAACCGTGCAAAAAACCAACGAAGCCTTCTAGTTTCCTTGTTAGGAACTGATATCATCTCCTCTTGGGCATAAGATAAGGGAGTAACTACATTGGCATGTGTTTGATCTGTACCAACAGTGTTGAACAACCAGTGAATTAAGCATTTTGTGCACTCTGGCATGATTGAATTTTGCTAGTTGACCAACTAAAACCCAACAATTCTCTTTAATGTAGCCAATCCTATCACATTGATCACACTTCGGTTTACTTTTATTGCCCCATTTTCCAAATCTTTGAGATCCACCCCTCTTATTGTTCATAGGAGGTAATGAGATAGAGATAAGGGCTTAATAATCCATTGGTTGTGTATGCAGCATGATACTTTTTTTATTTTCCTCACTCTAGATAGAGGAATATATGTAATTGAGAGATGCAAGATAATCCCGACTGAGGATTTGAACCCTAGGTAACTCAAACTTGGGGTTCAATCTAGCCAGAAACTTTAAAGATATGATTTTGTTCTACAAACTCCTTGTAGTTACCCCATCTTGCTTACAGGCTGGTTTAAACATATGATAATGATTGAACTCCTTTCATAGGTTGCAAAATAAAGAAAAATATACTAGACAACTCCCCCCTATCGAGGATGGGATATCTTTTACCATAGTTGGTATACTCAGGACATATTCTTACTTGATGTACTAATCCAAGGTCTCTCCCACAGTCCAAAGAAACAAGAAACCCTGTTAATTGAATATAGCATTGAGTGAAACAACTAAGACAATACTGTCAAATTTTCAGTCTCCCACTTCTCATGCAAGGGATATGTTTCTTCAGGTTCAATAAGTTTCCATGGATATCTCGACTTCCCTCTTCCACCAATAAACGATATAGTAGACTGTGACCATTCCAAATGATTTGTCCCATCAAGGATTTTTCTTTTTTTAACAGTTGTAGTCTGTAGTCTAGGGTTTTCTCCATGCATTCTCATGTGATAGGTTTCACCTGATGTGTACATGTGGTAGAAGAGTGTTTTGAGTCACTGATATTGGACATATCAACCGCTAAACAACCAATACACACCGGAAAATGCTCATTGATTAACACAAACAGCCACTTGACTGATGCTGTTTGACACAATCAGCTCTACTTCACTCCACACAGACATTCACGACCATCCATGCAATAGATATTGATAAAATGAGTCTTACAACTTATGACCAAGGTTTCGATGTATTATAGGAGTCCAGCAACCAAATTTGAGCACCAAATGTCCCAACCAGCTCTAGGGTTTTCAGTTCAACATCATAAACTCGACCTAGGTAGAAAGTAACCATGAAATTAGGATTTCATGCACAATACCAATTCTTTAGATCTGAGTTTTCGATCCACACATACCAGATCTAGGTTTTAAGTCACCATAATTTTTCACATCAAGTTTTTTGAACCACACATAAAAAGTTCACGAATAGAAAGGAGCCAAAATATTAGTGTTTTTTAATACCTTCGCATGGCCACATTATTAGGTTTCATATACATATCCTGAAACTTCCTGCTCTGATACTACATTGAAATACAACAAACTAATATGCAAGTGATGAAAGAGTATAAGAGAGGTTAAGATCTATAAAGAAAGTTAGAGAGAGAGAGAGAGAGAGAGAGAGAGAGAGAGAGAGAAAGAGAGTCAAGTGAGGAGGAAGAAGGAGAGGGGTCGTGATGTTGTCCTCTAGACACCCCGCTCATATATTCTTTTGTATTAATAATAAAAGGTTTAAAGAACGAAACTGCCCTTAGATAAGGGAAAAGTCAAATAAATCCTTAGGGATTTAAATAATAGAGGATATAAACATAAATTTAGTTATTCACAACAATATAGTGGTGCGGTGAGCCCAATTTATAGCTTAAGTCCTTAGGCCTAAGATGGTTGTATCTTAGGGTTTGCTCCAGGGACTCGTTCACCATACTCAATTAAACACTAGATAGAGATAGAGAGAGAATTGACCTAAGTCTAGATACCCTGCCTCAAATCTCCCTCCGTGTGGGCTTGAGACCTAAACGATTTTGGGCTGTCCAATAGTATAGAGTGCTAGTTTCTCACTCTAAAACTTGGAGCTATTTTCTGTGTTACTGTTTTACAGGCAGCAGAAAACAGGAACTTAGGCGAGTTGTTTCTTGACAATGGTACATCAGAGTTCAGTGAAACTTTGATCGCTAGAAGGGCATTAAGTCTTGTTTATGTAAACAAAATTTTAGCTCAAAAACGATTTGTATTTTGTGAGATATAAATGAATAAGTGATTGGTGCCACTGTGTAACTGCAATTTTCAGTCTCCCTTTGTATCTAACTCCAGCGACCAACATTCATTACTTCATGAGGCTTGTTCTGATGTTGGCAGGTTGTTATTGTATCCTCCATTAGCATCTCTGCTTGGCATAGAGAAGCTTCGTCAGTGCTGTACCACATGGTTGCTTCTTGAGCAATTTCTTTCTCGGCATTATAGTTGGAAGGTATGATTAACTGTATTCAACTAGGTTGTATTTGATTGATGAATGAATCTCTATGTCAATTGGCCCCATTAAGGTTCAGTTTTTTATTACTTTATTCAAATATGGTTTTTATCTGATTGTATATGTGATTCAGTGGGAACATGCAGGAGAGACATGCGGTACAGGTTTAAAGAATTTGTATGCACAAAGGCCTCTTCTCAGCAATATTCCACCATCTGAATATAATCCAGCCAAGTTGTTGCTTAATGGCGTTGGATGGTCTATTCCACAGTCTCAGCTGATGAGAACTGGCAAGAACTCATTGAATCATAAACAACTAGAGGATCTGCAATCTGTTGGGGGTCCTGAAGTATTGACTAGTTCCCACAAACGTGAACCCTGGTTTTGGTTCCCTGGTTCAACTGATATTTGGGAAGGTTCTGATTTTGCCAATAGAGCTGGTAACCTAAAAGATGAACTTCCTTGGAAGATTAAAGCGTCTGTGCTTCACTCTGTTCGTGCACATGCTGGAACTTTGAGAGCACTTGCTGTTGATGGCGACGAATGTACAGTTTATTCTGGAGGGGTTGGTACTGGATTCAAAGGTATTGTTCGAAAGTGGGAATTACCAGAAATAGACAGTATTTCAGGTTATTTTGGCCACGAGGAGGTTTGTTTCTTCTGATTATGATGGTCTCAACTTCTCATACTCTATTAATTTATGGGTGCTGTTTGCCTATTATGTGTCGAATATACTTGTGCAATTTTTCTCTCCATGCAATGGTCACATTGTAGGTTGCTTCTTGTACTTCCATAAAACTTGACATGGGACAATGATGCAGGGAGATTTGAAAAGGATGTGGTTTGTATAGGACCGAGGCTCTAAACAATTAAAGTAAAGAGCACCTTCAAATAGTGTCAAGAAATGTGGTTTCAATATCGAAAATCTTTGTGATAGCCTTAAAATATATTTTTATCTCTAATTATAAAATTTAAAGCTTCAAAAATAGTGTAAATCGAGCAGATCTATGCAAACTTGAAAACCTTGAAACTTGACAATTCAAAAATGCATTACGAGATGTACTATTTCCAAAACTTGAAATCTATTTTTTTCTCATGTCCATTCATCTTGAGGTCGAAATAATCAATTTGAGGATACTTGGGCATCATAACAACCTCTTTTATTGAAATTTTTGAGGTGCGCCCTAATTTGATTGTTTAGAGCCTCGCACTTATATAAACTTTTTCCATTTGAAAAAATAGGCTCTAAGCTTTTCTTTCTTTTTTAATTTCTACAACTCATGAATAGTAACCGCGAATAATACGTAAAAATATAAAAGAACCCTACAATTTCAAAAGAAAACTTAAAAACCCTAAAAATAAATCCCTAAAACTAAAATCAAAATATACATTCTTTAAAATTGAATAAAAATTAAAAATAAGAATAATTTGTCTTGCATCATTCTCCCCTAGTTGGAAAAACTTGTCTTTGAGTTTTGAAGAGTGCTAAGATGAGTATAGCATCAAAATCACATCCTTCAACCTTCTTCTTATCTGTTGGCTCAAAATATTTTTTTCGGTAAGAAGAAATCCCAAAGAAATTTATCCTGGTTTGTATATGATGCAAGAGAATTTGAGGTAACAGTAAACTTAGCAAGTAACAAATCCAAACACAAGCACCATTAGAAGAAACCTAGGATGTATTCTCCATACCCCAAGCTAGGGTTCCAAAGCCTAAGCTTTTATTTTTTCTCAATTTCTAGAATTCATGTGGAATATGACTCCCTTAAGGCCCCAGACTCATCTACTATGTTATAACTTAATGTTTCAAGTACAAAAAGTGTCCAAACAAATAATACATTGACCTATATATCTTAACTTAATTTAAAATTCGTAATGACAGTTTTACCCCTGTTAACAATACCCGTGAACAATACTCATTATAGTATTTGTGAATAGTACTCATGAAATGAATAAAAAATATAAAAACCATAGAATTCCTAAAAAAATTAAAAACCCTAAAACGAAAACTATAATATACATGATTTGAAATTAAATAAAAATAAAAAATAAGGATAATTTTTCCTTCATCCATATAATAAAGAATTGATAGAATCTTGTCAAATTTGACTATCCTTGAAATTAATTTGAAAATTGAGTAGGAAACTTAAAGCCCAATTTTCCGGCATTTAGAAGCTTTCTCCACATCTATTTCATTACGCACTAAAACCAGAGCCACAATTTGTGATTTATGAGTTGACCACACTTTTGTTGTGCTATTTTGATTTTGATGCCCTAAAAGAGTGCTGCCGCCGTGCGATCTGAAAAGGATGACCCACATCTTTTTGACCTCAATAGAGGATGACCTATAATAAACCCTCAACTGTAGTACCTTATACCGAGGGTAAGGGTTTTGGACATGTCCTGGGCGATAGGGGATCTTTTCTTTGTATAAAGATTGGATATAAATGGAACAAGTTGCTACGAGCGCTTGGAACTCTTCCTAAAGCCTTTTAGTAAAAAGCTTTTGATTTTTATGCAATCTTGAGTGAATTTGTTCCTGGATTGTGTGTTTTCTCTAGTTTATTCGATTTGATGCGTCATACTTTCTTCCAGATATCTTTAGCACACACTTATATGTGAAACATATAGCTATTTCTAGGCCAGTAGATGGTAGTCTCTGAATCTACACCGCTACGTTTGAGCCCCAACTCTGATCAAATAGTTTAATTCCTATGTATCATATGTTCACATTTACTTGTATTTGGCAATTGGACTCATTTGATTCAACAATAGATGGTCGTCATTAAATGATTCCTGTTATTGTTTTGATCTTGTCTTATATTTCTTAGATCTATCTTTGCACATTATATTCTACATGTTTCTATATTATTTTTCTTTGGATGATGCAATAAAGTTAGGCTATTGATTGGCTTTTTCCTGCCATTGCGTGATATACGAACATCATGCAAAAAGTCTAAGTTGTTATTAGTCACTTGTGCTAGGTTTTGAAATAAGCATTCTCATCAGATAAACATCGAATGCACCTAAATATGGCATTTCTGCTGTTTGCATGCAAAAAGTTATTATGTATATGCCTTCTGCTTCTTAATGGAGATCATATTCCTAAAATTGATGCACTTGTCGTTGGTCTCTATGCATTTCATTGCTCATGTGGTTGAGATATTACATCTGTGCAATGTCAGATTGTCAATGGAATTTGTATATTATCTGCTAGTCAAAGGGTGGCTTCTTGTGATGGGACAATACACATCTGGAATAGTCAGAATTCAAAGCTCATTAAAGTATTCTCAGAACTTGAACTTTCAACAGTTTCCTCTCATTCAAGTTTCTCATCTACTGTATCAAAGGTGAATACTGAGCACGGGACTGGAATTAATGCTGCTCCACTATCAGGAGGAATCTTATCTAATGCTTTTAATGGGACCTTGTACACATGCATGCATTACTTGGAATCTGATGATATGCTTGTAGCTGGCACCGGTTGCGGATCACTAAGGTGAAGTGCTTTCTCATCTAATACGTGTTCATGGTTATCTGAACAAAATTCTGTGCCATGTTATCCTTTTCCTCTTCTTGTCTTTAATCTAAACATATGTCATGCTTTCGATTGACCAAGTTTTCAATAATGATAAATATGGAATTTAATCCAATGTGGGTAAAGTAAGTTCTTATTAGCATTTCTTGACCATCTTTCAATTCCAGTAGTTAGTCGTCACTGAACAAGGTGACATATTAGCTTTTCTGGTTACGAGGAATAAGACACATGATACTTCTGATTTTCTCTTAGTGATGAACCGTGAGTATAACTTTTGGAATGGCTGCAGGATCTCATAGATCTTATAATATGGTCAAAACCAGTTTGGTTTTGTGAATGACTATGATTGTGACATTTATGAGCTCGTGGGCCTGAATGAGATCTTATGCTGAAGACAGCTTGCGTGGGGTGGTTGTGATTTAGGTTGGTAAAAAGAGTAATAGAAATGGTAGCATGTTCATTTACCAAAGAAAGCAAATATTACTGTCTTCTGCTGATGCCAATTTTCTTCACCAGAATATGTACTAATGAAAAATAATACATTTGAAATGATCAAGAAGAGAAAAAATGTTCAAACCCCCACAAACTTGGTTTTTTTTCTAGGAGATGATAACGAAAATATCAAAGTAGCTTAGCTGTTATGATTGTGGGCCTGACTAAAGCCAGTAAACTTTGTAGGTCGGTTGTATTGTTACTAAAGCAAAAGTGGTAGTCCAATTGTGTGGTTGACCAATGTCAACATATTAAAAAAAAAAAAGAAAAAAAAGTGTGGACGACCAGCAGCAGCACAACGTACAAAAGATTAGGAGATTAGCAGCAGATTTTTACTGCCTTGAGTGGAACTCTTCCAGAAGTTTGTGGCATGTTAATACAAATTCTTCAAATGTATGTCAGTATGGAACTGTCTGTCTCTTGCCTCTCATCTTTTAGGAACCTCCTCTATTGCTACAAGGTATTTAAAGTCCCCATGAATTAATGTTGAACTTTTGCTTTGTAATTCATCAATATGGTGATGATATACTTTCAAATTTCAACAATTTGAACTGTACGCTTAAATTTTTATAATCTTCCCTATCATGCTAATCTCTTAATTTTTTGTATTTTTCAATATGAAAACATGGTTGGATTATTATGGATCCCTCTCTCTCTCTCTTGTTTTGGGGGAGGCAAATTATCAAATCCCTCATGTGAGATGAAGTATTTATCATTGTACCCATATTCATCATCATCATAGCCTTTTCTCAATTAATTAGGGTCGGCTACACAAATAGTGGTCAGCCATTCTACTCTATTAAAGGTCATACCCTCAGTGAGGCCAGAAGTCCCCAAATATTTTCGAACTACTTCCAACCACATCCTTTTGGGCCTACCCCTTGCCCTTTTATGTCCTTCCACTTGAACTAACTTGCACCTCTTAACAGGTGTTGTATTTAGTCGGCACTACACATGGCCAGCTTACCTAAGTCTACTCTCTCTCATCTTATCGCCTATTGGTGCTCCACCTAAACTCTCCCGAATGGATTTATTTCGAATTATATCTCTTCTTGTCTTGCCACTCATCCATCCCAATATCCTCATCTCCGCTACACTCATTCTATGGGTATGTTATTTTTTGTCCGCCCAACATTCAGCCCCATAGAGCAAAACTGGTCTCACAGTTATCCTATAGAACTTGCCCTTGGTATATGCCGATCACATAAAATTCCAGTTGCACATCTCTGCTTAACCTACCCAGCTCTAATTTTGTGTGCAACATTTACCTCAATTTCTCCATTTTCCTGGATTATCGACCCTAGATATCGAAAATGCGGTCTTTTTTGTACTTCCTGGTCATCCATCTTAACTACTTCCTCGTCGTTACTCCTATTATTACTAAACTTACATTCCATATACTGTGTCTTAGTCTGGCTAAGACATGCACTTCAAGGCAGAGTTGACAGAGGAATTTTGCCATGTTTCTTTGGGCCTTTTATTTTCCAGGGATAAGTTCTCAAATCATTTATATACTTTTCAGGTTTATCGATGTTGCTCAAGATCGTAAGCTGCACCTATGGAAGTGTGAAGCATTTGAATCCTCCTTTGCATCTATTGTGTCTTCTATTTGTTATTGTGGGTCTGATAAGTGGCAAGCTGGGACATCATCATCATCATCATCTTGGATAGCAGCTGGGTTCAGTTCAGGTCATTGTAGGCTGCTTGATATAAGAAGTGGGAATCTAGTTGCTCTTTGGCGAGCCCATGATGGATTTATTACCAAGGTATCTGATAAATCTCCTAGCTAATGGAATATTGTTGCATTTACTATACATACAGGGTTTTAAAGCTCGTGTCAGCCAAGGTATATGGCCCTTGTCCAAGGTGAGTAACTCGGCTGAGTTAAGTGATCATCATCATCATTGTCGAAGCCTTTCCCAACTAATTGGGGAACTCGGCCAAGTTAAGTACACCCCCAAAATGTTAAGTCAAAAATAAATAAAAAGTAAAAATTTGTAAAAATATAATAATTCAAAATAGAAAAAAATGAAGAGGTAAGAGTCATACCTTGAATATTATTGAATAATTTAAAAGACTGAAGAAGATGAAAAAAATATATAAAAATGGATTATTGAGAAACTGAGTCATACCTTGAATATTTCAGAAAAATTACAAAAAAAGAGGAAACAGTAAGAAAGTTCCCAAATCATCTTAAAAACACTATTAAAACTATCTAAAAAAACATATTTCTGAAAAAAATATTCTTATTTCCATTTTCCTCTATTTTATAAATATTTTTTAGCTATTTTTTGGTGCCCGGTGATTGGGGGCAGCAAGTTGGGCACCCCACCGCACCCAATCTGCTCACCAATAGGGAAAGGCCGAGTGGACTCAGTCGTGCCTTAAAACACTGCATGCATATTTTGCCCGTTGCATTTCAGTCCTTTTCTATTGTTTCTGTTCTTGATAAGTAATTTCCTATTGTTGCAGTTGGCAGCACCAGAAGACCATTTACTTGTGTCAAGTTCCCTTGATAGAAAGATATGCATTTGGGACCTGAGGAGGTATGGCAAATAATAAATGAAACCTAAGAAAATATTAGTCGATAACTTTTTGCAGCTATGAGAAATCACAGTAATTTTTTGATTTTTCGAGGATGTGTTCATGCATGCAAGCTCATATACTTTGAAGGATGCGCGAATCACAGCTTATGGGCTGTGTTGAATCCTTGCGAATATACACATGTTGATGTGCACATGAATGATGGGTGCACAGTTAGTGTGTGTGTGTATATAAACACACAAGACACAAACACAACATGCACGTGCATTGCACGATGCCCTAATTCCATTTTGTTTATAACTAATTTGTGGCTTGATAGAACAGATGGAATTTTCAACTATTCGTAGGAAATGTCTTATTTGTAACACATGATAAAATGTGTGTAATTTAAATCATGAATTTTGTTTGTTTGAGAATAATTCATGCCAATTTAAAATAAGAGACTTCAAAAATTAGGAAAGGAGTCCTATTGTATTCTATTTTAACATTTTATTTGTAAGTAATTTATGCCACAATGAAATAATGTGACTCTTTCAACAATTCTTAAAAAACTCCTACTTAAACATTCATTTAAACAAATTAACATTTTAAATTATGAATATTGTTTGTTTTGAAAACAATTAATGCCAATGCAAAATAAGACATTTGGAAATTTAGGAATGACATGAGACGAGTCTCCTTTCCCTACATTTAGAGAGCGAGAATCTAGGAATTGTTTTGAGTTAGGTTGAAAATTTTATTGCATTTGCTTAGTGATAAAGATTGAAAATGGAATGTGGGCAGAGAGATGATCTGGGAATTATGAGCCTATTTGTTTTCTTCAAGAGAGATTTTTTAGAAAGAAAGTTGGAGGGGAAAAGGAGTTGTGAAGAATTCAAATTTTAACTCTCCTTGATCATTTCTACGGTAAAGGTTATGAGACACAGATGTTCTATTGCAGAAACTGGTCAGCTCCATTGCGTGTGATTAGAGGCCATTCAGATGGTATCTCCGGTTTCTCCATATGGGGTCAAGATATGATTTCAGTTTCTGGCAATAAGATCGGGATATCCTCTCTTTCTAAATCCTCGGATGAGGTATGTAACTACTGCTTACTCTTCCTGTTTGTAACAATCTTTGAGGAAATTCATCTGTTGGAGCTTAGATGCTACTTTAAGCAGGAAATTTTTTGTTATTGAAGAAAAATGACCCAGTTTTTTTTTTTTTCCTTCTACTATGTATGCCTGTGTTGCTACAGCAGCAGATTTTCCCACAAAAACTGTATGCAGCTGATCGTAGTACCAAGAATATGTCAGCTCTATCAAGCATATGCGTTCTTCCTTTTTCTCGGCTATTTCTGGTTGGGAGTGAGGATGGCCATCTTAAGACGTGTTGCTAGCTTAATAGTTGTGCATTTTGTTATTATGCTCCCTCCCTCTTCTTCTTTTTTTTGTTTAAATGTGGCCTTAATCTCTCTTCCTCAACTTGTTCCTTTGTTCACCCAAAATGTTCAGCCGTGCATCGCACATTGTGCGGGTGAATGTTTTTTAATTTTGGCCAATGAATTCGACCATTTGTTAGGTGACGTTCAAATGTCGTTGTAATGAAGCAAATTCAGAGTCCATTTATAGGTCCGCATTTAATAGCAGATGCCCATGGGTTTAGAAGAACTTTAAAGTGAACGGCCTTATGTTGTTGTAATGGCATAAGGCTCTATTGTTTCTTCTTTTCCTGCTTGATGGACAATGCCCGAGTGCGAACATTGTTAACAGTCTCCTTTATTGAGGTACCACAGTTGTCGAGGTGGCAAACTCTAGACACGAAATCCAAAGTCTTAAAACACCAAAATAACGTACATTTTAATTTAGGAGTTCCAATTTTGGGTGAGCATTGAATTTGAGATTACATATTTGGCCATGGGTTTATAAGAAGTTTGAGAGTGAATGGCCTTCAGATGTTGAAAGGGCATAAAGCTGCTTTTGTTTACTCCATGGCCTTCAGATTACAATTTTGGCCATGAATTTGAGATTAAAATTTGCACAGCATGCTTATGAGATATAGGTTGCTATCTTTGTTTTCTTAAACATGAGATACTCTCTCCTCCCACAGACCGCGCAACTATTGCGCACTTTCTTTTGCTTGACAATCGTATGTACCTTTCCACATTTATGAGTTCGTGGCAACCAGCAAGCAAATACAACTTGCCCAAGAAAACTACTTGCTTACGAGCGATAGGGAGTAGAAACTCCCCATTAAACTTGAGAGATTGAGCACATGCACTGAGGTCATTATGTATGTCCGGGAATCAAGAAAATGCCGTGCAATGTACAAAGACTACTTTGTTACAAAGAAAAAAAGAAAGGGAAATAAGTAAACACTAATTCTTAATCTACTACAACATTCTTTACATTTTTTTTCGAACCTTTACAAGTTAATGAAATATGCGGGGATAGCACATCCATGGTGATATAAGATCTCAACTCTGATGAATATGAATGGGTGGCCGGGGGAAGGGGGGGGGGTGGGGGTGGGGGAACTTTTTTCATTTTGTTTTCTATTTAAAGTTTACAAATGACCATTTACTTTCAATATGAGGAGGTCACAGTCACTTTCGTCCGTTAGATCTTGAATGGGGTGGCTATGGATGTGTCACTAAATAGACTCAAAGTTCAACAAATAAAGTTAATGTGGCCTAAGCAATGTTTGCAAAATCAAACCAGAACGGTTAATTAGACATTGGCCAAGAAGTGGTTTAACCGGCTTAACCAGTAAGCCGACCGATTCAACCGCTCTAATGGGGCAAATCCCAGGCGGTCAAAAAAATGTTAAAAAAAATATAAAAAGATGCAAAAAAAAATCTACTAAAATATGAAAAATATATAAAGAATGATTAAAACAAAACACATTCAAATGAAGTTGAAAATTAATGAAAAATATATATTTTAACCCATTTTATATTTTCCAATGGTTATTTTTACAATTTTCCAAAAAGATGGAAAATATAAAAGTGAGTATTAATGACCAAAACAATTTTTAATCTTTACCATAATGTAAAGAATATTTAAAAATGCATTAAAAATTAAATTCATTATTTTTATAATTTATATTTATATTTTTATTTTTATTTTGAAAAATACCGGTTAATCACCCTAATCGCCCAAAATTGGAACCGGCCTGGCCGGTTCTAATCTAATCGGGCGATCAGCAGTTAGATAGGGCAATTTTACGAACAATGGGCCCAAGCCATCCAATTTAATTGCAAACTCCTTGTAACTAAGATAAAATAGTCTCATAGTATACGATCCATTGTAAGTGTATAGTCAAAGTTATTGTTAGTGGTAGAGAGAAATAAAGACGATCCTTTGTAGTCAAAGTTATTGTTAGTGGTGGAGAGAAATAAAGACATGTCAAGTCTATGTTATCGAGTGGGAAATTGATATGCTCCTCAACAACTCAAACGTAGTGAAAGTAGTAATTGTTCCTTTCAAGTTGCATTAGGAATGGAAGGAACCTTTACTATTAAAAACAGTGTGCAAAAAGGTTCGACTGAGCAAAACGGTCCCTCAAACACAAATACTCACCAGTTAATGGACACTACTATCGTTACGATTAGGTTGGTTTCTTAGGGCATGATGTAGAAATTGCTCGGGATGGGTGCTTCGAGGTTAATATTGTATTTTATGCAGACATTTGCTTAGGAATCAAATCCACTGCCACCTCCTCATGTTGGACACTGCACCATTACGACTCCATGCATGCATGGGCACCAAACTGCCACCGCAATGCCACAACTCATCACCCATATCTATATGCCAGTCCACGAGAGAGTTACACGCCTATTCCCTCAAACAATTCCATGGTTATCATCCTCCAAAACAACTCTCATGGAGCACCCTCATCGTAGGCTATGCTAACAGCACCGCCCCACGAGAAGCCATTCTCTTGTTTCACCACATGTTATGTGTCAACAATTCTTTTCTTCCTGATAATTTTACTTTTCCCGCTTTGCTCAAGGCTTGCTGTGATAGTGACAACTCATCCGCCATTGAGGAGGGAAAGCAGATCCATTGTCAAGCTTTGAAAAGAGGATTTTGTTCTGATGTTTTTGTGCAGAAGCGGCTTATTCGCTTTTATGCGAAGTTCGGTGCTCTTGAAGATGCCTGGAAGGTCTCTGGTCAGTGCATTGGCGCCATTGATACTGTTTGTTGGAATGACATGATCAATGGGTACATCAAAATTGGCAGGTTAGATGTTGCACAGCACTTGTTTGATGACATGGTCAACAAAAATGCGGTCTCTTGGAGTTTGATGATCAATGGACATGCAAATAATGGTGACATGGAAACTGCGAAGCTCCTTTTTGATGAAATGCCGGACACTGAGAGGAGTGCATTTGCTTGGAACAGTATGATTGCTGGTTATGCCAAGAACGGTAGGATGGTTGAATCTCAAGAGCTGCTCAATCAAATTCCTCACAGAGATGTGTTCTCTTGGACTGCTGTTATCTCTGGGTACTCACAAAATTGCCTCTTCAAAGAGGCATTGGAAGCCTTTCACGCAATGCAGGTGGAGAAATTGGAACCCAATGAAATCACCCTTATAAGTGTTCTTCCGGCTATTGCACATTTTGGGGCAACTAGTCAGGGGAGGTGGATCCATGCATATATTGAAAAGAAGAAGATGGCCATTGATGGGGTTCTAGGCTCAGCTCTAGTAGACATGTATGCTAAGTGTGGGGACATTGAAGAAGCCCTAAGAGTCTTTGAGAGACTTCCATGTAAGGAGTTGTCAGCATGGAATGCTCTAATTTCCGGCTTCGCAAGGCATGGCCTCAGCAAGGCGGCACTCTGGTTTTTCTCAAGGATGCATGGCTCGAATGTTAAGCCAAACGAGATTACCTTTGTTGGTGTTCTCAGTGCGTGTAGCCATGGAGGGTTGGTGGATGAGGGTCAAATGTACTTTGCTCTGATGAATGATGCTTACAACATTACACCTAATGCAAAGCATTATGGTTGCATGGTTGATCTTCTTGGTCGCTCTGGTCACTTAAATCAGGCAAAGGAACTCATAGAGAGTATGCACATAAAACCCAATGCTGTTATATGGAAAACTTTTCTCAGTGCTTGTAGGATTCATGATAATGTAGAATTGGCTCAGCAGGTGGCACGAGAGGCTCCTGAATTTGATTCTGAAGATAGTGGACCTTATATACTTTTATCAAATATTTATGCAGCTTCTGGTCTATGGGATGAGGCTAGCAAGACTAGAAGAACAATGAAAGATATGAAGGTGCATAAGGTCCCTGGTTGTAGTTGGGTAGAAATGGATGGAATTATTCACGAGTTTTTTGCAGGGGATCGATCCCACCCTGATTCAGAAGCCATATATAATAAGCTAGATGAGATGAGACTGTCACTAAGAACAACAGGCTATGTGCCAAACACATCACAAATATTGATGGATGCGAGTGAGGAAGAGAAGAGAATATCAGTGTGGCATCACAGTGAAAAATTGGCCATTGCATTTGGGCTGATTAAAGGAAGCTCAAAGAACCCATTCCACGTGATTAAAAACCTTCGCATTTGTGATGATTGTCACTCGGTTGCCAAAATCATTTCCAAGATTTATAGGCGCAAAATAGTGGTAAGGGACCAAAGGAGGTTCCACCATTTCAAGGATGGTATGTGCTCTTGCATGGATTACTGGTGAAGTTTAGGCAGATTAGGAAAATATCCTAGATTAGAGGTTGATGAAGACGGAGGTCAGTAGGGGATTCTTGTATTCTTTTGAGTTGGTAAGGCCTGCCACTTTATTTGTATTACTGCCCTCAACAAAAAAATTGTTAATGCTTGATCATGTTGTGAAGAACAAGTAGCAATATTGGTCGGGCATCTCAGTTGCTTTTTATTTTCGTTTTTGAGCAATTTATGACACCGCTGTGAAAGCACAGGGTCAATTGGTCATTTGTCTCAAGGCTGTTATAATATGGTTAATGAGACAGGATTTCTGTTTCCAAACAAGGATTTCTGTTTCCAAACAAATAATCTCTCTCTCTCTCTCCATGTGATATTAACGATGTGTTACTGCAATAACTACATCTTTAAACCAAATGCGGAATAAAAAACGTGGAATTCGCATTATGCATATCAGTGTCTCAAATGAAAAGTTGACATGAAATGAAATGATTTTAGATGGGAAGTCATAAAAGCTGTTATTTAATCCTCTGCAAGAGAGGAGGAAATTAAATGGTTAGGATGGGAAGCCATAAAGGCTGTTATGGGAACGCAGTTAATCCTCTGCAAGGGAGGAGTGTGTAGCAGAAGCCTTAACATATCTCAGGCCATCAACATATCTAAGGCATAAGACTGAAACATTTTTAATACCAAGTTGAAAATAATAGCACAAGTAAAACGTACTACTCATATTCAAAAGGAGGCAGTGTTTGGTTACAAGATTAAAGAGGGTGGCAGCCTTAAGCAATTATCCACCTTCAAGGAGAGTAAAGCCTCGTGTTATATAATGCCCAACACCGAGAGAGAGAGAGAGAGAGAGAGAGAGAGAGAGAGAGATGATGTTGATGAGCAAAATGGCTCTGACCATGGCCCTGGTGATGATGGGCCCTCTAGTGGGAGCCCAAGACAGTAAGGAAGCATCCAAGGCACAAATAACCCACCACACCGAAACTATAGGCGGGCTCCGTGCAAGTGGGCCTGGTCTAGGCGGGCTTGGAGGAACTGGTCCTAGTTTTGGTGGCCTTGGAGGGACTGGGTCTGGTCTAGGTGGGATTGGTGAACATGGGCCTGGCCTAGGTGGGATTGGTGGACATGGGCTTGGTGGAACTGGTTCTAGTCTAGGTGGGCTTGGTGGAAATGGCCCTGGTTGGGGAAACGGCTATGGCGGAGGGAGGTATGGAAATGGAAGAGGTTGGCAAGGAGGCAGACGGGACGGTGGATATGATGGGGGATGGCATGGGCCTCGTGATAGCTATGGGGGTCGTTATGGTGGTTATGGACCTGGTAATGGTGGAGGTGGGCCAGGTTATGGTCGTGAGCCAGGTTATGGTGGTTATGGGGGTGATAATGGTGGAAGTGGGCCAGGCTATGGTGGAGGAGAGCCAGGTTACGGTGGAGATGGCCGTGGTTATGGTGGAAGTGGCCCTGACTATGGTGGGGTTGGACCTGGTATACCTGGTAATGGTGTTTCTCCCCCATGAGCAAACACATCAGTCATCGGAGGGGTTCCTTTTATGTGCGGGATGAAAAGATTTCTTTTGGGATTCGTCTGTAATCTGTACTTCTTGTTTTGACTGAGATAGTTAAAATGGCAAATAATGTTAGGGTCACCGTGGTATGCATGTCTTAGCATGTACGATGAACATAGTTATGGTGGAGACGAATGAAAATCAATTACTTGAGATCCACAGCACTATTAACTCCCCACTGTTGCTAGATGTTTCATTGAAATCTAGTTGATTCCTGCTGGAAACCCCACCAACCAACCAAATGTCCCCTGCTAACTTTGGATCATGATTTTTTTTTCATTTAATTTAAAACACCATCAGATATTTCAACCAAGTTCCACAAATTTCAGATCAACCAAATGCCGTAGTGATCAGTCAATATTAAGCATTGTAATTTCTTTTTCGGTAGTTCAACAATAGGAATCGAACTTGAGATGTAGTATTGCTAAAATCAACTGCTAACAACTCAAGCCCAAGCATGATTCCTAATAGTCCGCATCACCATTAGCCTTTGACATAGTCATAATGCAGTTACTCCAAGACAGCAAGTTGGGCAAATTCACAACATATTTAAAACCATTTGAAGAGTCCTTTTCTTTTTCTAGATCGTAAACTTGAGGAGTCTTATTAAGTAGGACATCCAACTTACTTTAGTTTTCCATCTGGTTTATCTCACACATGACGATGACAAATTCAGTATGCATAAATATTGTTTCTTGCTAAGCTCACAAATAAACCTACAGGGCGTGATGTTTGCATGACGCATACATTTTCCCATGATAAAAGAGAGCATTAGCCTCAGGACTACACCATGTTCACCTCACACATCACAATGAGAACTTCACCATGCACAGATATCTTTTCTAAGCTCATGAATAAAACTAAGGGGACTGATATTTACATGAAGCATACATTTTCAAAGCTACAGACGGCTAGGGAACCAAAAACCCTATTTATTCCCACAACCCTTTAAAGAAAACATATGGAAATAATCAAACCAAAACGCATATTGATTTCAGCATAAGTAGAATATTTTCAACATTAAGGCAAACTACAGCTTAGTGGCAATTTAACTGCAACCTATCCAATGAGCAATGTAACATTTCACTATCATCATCATCCTCAAAGCCTTTTCCCAACTATTTAGGGTCAGCTACATGAATCCTGGTCCGTCCATATATTTTCTCACTACTTCCAACCATGTTCTTTTGGACCTACCACCTTGCTTTTTTTGAGCCGTCCACTTGAACTAACTCGCACCTCGTAACAAGTGTTGTACTAGGTCTGTGCTGCACATAGCCAGCCCACCTCAGTCTACTTTCTCTCATCTTATCACCTATTGGTGCCACACCCAAGTTACTTTGAATGTATTCATTTTGAATTCTATCCCTTCTTGTCTTGCCACTCCTAAGTTCTTTCAAATGGAAGATTTTACCGACTTTCAAATTTATGCACAAACTCAAGGGATGTCAGCAGCTCTTGGGGCCCAAGTCAGGAAGGAGTTCCAAGGTCTCAAGAAGGCATGAGATCTGGTTGGGAACTAGGGTTTTTATAATTTAAAGATAGCGTCGCAAACCCAAAATTAGATTGCATTGGAGGCATCTGCAGTTGTGAGTATCTAAGAGTTCACTTTGACAGAAGTGTATTAGGTAAGTGTAGCCTTGATGTGATTTGTTTGTATTGAGAGATGCACAGTGTGTGTGTTCCCATGTGTTTTCTAAAAATATGCTGCTTGAACAAGTATAAGTTTTAATCTAAATTACTGAAGCTTCAGATATGACTTGATGATCATTGCAAAAGTGAAAATCTTATTCCAAGAATTCTAAGACCAAGTCAAGGATTCAACATATGATGTTACTAATTAATGAGGGAAGAACCGTCATGTACACTACATGCAATATAGATGTCCAAAACATAAGTTTTTTGTTTTTAAACTGTGAACTTTGTATTAAGTAAAAGGAGGTATACATATTACAAAAAATTTCTGCCCACAGCTTGGGAGCTATACAACCTCCGAGATGGTGGCATAATAAAAAAGTACTATACAAGCATGAGATTACAAATGAAATACTATACATGCATGAGATTACAAACAAAATACTATACAAGCATGAGATTACAAACAAAATAATATACAAGTATGAGATTACAAAACATGGATATTGTGTGAAATACAGCAGCAAGTGCTCTAGATCAACGCTTGAAAAGCACCCTCCTTAGCCAGTGCGTCAACACTTGGTTGGTCTCTTGCCAAGTATGTTTCCGTAAGACCTGTGTATGCCTGCAAATGTCAAAAATCTCATAAATGACTGAAGTGAGTCACCAAGGGGGGTGGCCTCTCGTGAGGCCCAAGAGATGATGTTTCTAGAGTCACCCTGAACAACCAAAACTGTGCTCCAAGTGGGATTGAAGTTTTTAATGCCTTCCAAGAGTGCACAGGCTTCCGGTGTTGTGGAGTCGGCTCGGCCAATGGAAAGGGCAAGGAGAAAAGGGAAACTCCTTCATGATTCCTGAAGATGCCCCCAATGCCCAGGGCCAAGGTTGACGAGAGAGCACTCATCGAAGTCAAGTTTGGTATGGCTGATATCTGGTGGTCTCCAAAGGGATGAGTGGGGGACCAGTCTGGGCTTGTGGTGAAGGATGGCTCGCCAATTGAGATGGAAGTCGGATGAGGGGAGGAGCTTGAAGTGGTTGTGGTTGGTGGCTCAGAAGATCATTGTAGACTTGATGGTTTCCTTTAAGGCCTGCTGATGAGATATATGTCCCCAGAATATTATGTGGTTGCGTTCTCTCCATATGGTACATGAAGTTGCAGCCACTGAGGCCTTTCAAAGCATGGTGCCGGCTTTGGGCCATGGTAGGAAGTGCATCTGGTGGAAAAGCTAGGGGACATATTCAGGTGTCACCCATGACCAACCGAATAACTGAAGCAGGTCTTCCCACAATTGGCTTGCCAAATTGCAGTGAATGAAAAGATGCAAATTTGTTTCCTCCTCCAACCACATGGCACAACAATTGGGAATTTGCAGGCCTTCTCTTTGGAGTTGATTGACTGTTAAGGCTCTCTCCAACAGGGCGACCCAATTGAAGACCTGAACTTTCAGGGGGATGAAAGGAATCCAAGCTTTGGTAATAAGGTATTGATGAGGAGTTTCTGCCGGAGAGGCAATAGGCTTATGGTAGGAGGAAACTGTAAAAACCCCAGCGGGGAGAGGGTACCGAATGATTTTGTCTTCACCCAGAGGAGGAAAAAAGAATGAATTGAGAATAAAGGAGAGCTGAATTGAGAATACAGGAGAGTTCCAAGAAAGTGGGAATCTCATCATCGCGGAGTTCTCTACAAAAATTGGGATTCCAGGGCTCAGAATTCCCTTCATGCACTAGGAGATCTGAAACCAAGGCACAAGGGTTTCTAGCTAAGCGATAGAGGTAGGGGAAATCAAGCATCGGAGGGTGGTGGCCAATCCAAAGATCAGTCCAGAACCGAACTTTATTCCCAGCCCTGGGGAGGAAGCGGATGTGGGCTTTCAACTGGTGGAGGCAGCAGAGTATTGATTTCCAGACCCCAGAGGAAGAGTGGTAGGCCCTATCGGGGAGAGGCAAGGGGGAGGACTTGAGGTGGTATTTGTGGCATAGCACCTGATGCCACAAAAGACCATCCTGGGTCGCTAGCCTCCACCCACCATTTGCCCAATAACGCCAAGTTGTTCTTATGAGGGCTGCAAATCCCCAAACTGCCTAGGGCTTTGGGCATGCATGTGATATTTCTTGGACTCCCTGTCATCCGACCAAAGAAATTGCACATAAATAGTTCAAGGCATTGTGCCACTAAGACAGGTATGTAAAAGAGAGACATGTGGAACATGGGGGCATTTGAGAGAATAGCCTCAATAAGGGTAACTCTGGTCCGCAGAGGAAAGGTAACTCCCCTCCCAAGTGGCAAATTTACAGGTCAAATTTGACGATGATGCAGCTCCACTAACTTTCTTAGGTTTGCCATGACACAATGGCAGTCCTAGGTAAGTGGAGGCAAGGGCATCAGTCCCACACCCCCACCGATCTACAAAGGCCTGGTTAGTTTGGGGGTGTAGAGTGATGCCTATCATCTTAGACTTGAGCATATTAACTTTAAATCCAGTGGCTAAGTGGAAACATTTAAGGAAGAAAACCAAAGTCTCCACCTGTTGCACCGATGCATCACAAAAAAGTATCGTGTCATCGGCGTATCGTAGGTGGGAGATAATGGGATCATTTCGACCAATCTTGAATCCCTCTATTAAACCGTGTTGATACATACTAGTAAGGGATATGCAGAACACCTCAACAAAAAACGGCGAAAATGAAGGGGGGGGAGAGGGTCTCCCTGTCTTAGACCCCTAGATGAGGAAAAGAATCCTTGAGGTGAGCCATTGATGAGGATGGAAAAGAAAGGTTGGCGAATGCACCCTCTAATCCATTTTCTCCAGCGGATGTCGAAGCCCATTTGAGTAGAGTTTCCTCGAGCACGGCCCGGCCGACATGGTCGTAGGCCTTTTCTTGGTCCAATTTGATGACCAGACCCAGAATTTTAGAAGTGGATCTGGAATGGATACACTCGTGGGCCACCAAGGCCCCGTCCAAGATCTGGCGGTCCCTGAAAAAAGGCACTTTGATGGGGGAGATGACTCAATTAAGAACTGCCTTTAGTCTGGATGCGAGGACCTTGGCCAGGAGCTTAGAAGAGTTGTTGATCAAACTAATGTGTCTGAAGTCTTTGAGTTCCTTGGCACCCTCAACCTTGGGGATAAGAGCAATGAACGTGGCATTCATTCCCTTATGGATGACCCCTCTATGGAATTCAGGAAAGAAGAATACGATATCAGCCCGGAGAGGCTCCCAAAATCATTTAAAAAGGGCAACAGGGAAGCAGTCAGGTCCCAGGGCCCGGTCTTGATCCAGGTCATCTATGGAAGTCAGAATTTCATCCTCGGCGA